TTTTCATATGTATAAATCTTGTCCCTATTAGGACACATATGAAAAGTACAAGTCAGTCAAGAACCCATTCATCACTAGATTTAGTATCTCCGTCAAAAATTACAAGAAGCTCTCCACCACTTTACTCATCCTCCACAATATCAGCCTCCGCTGTATTAACATGTAGCTTCCCATTCTCAGTAGCACCAGCAGCCTTGTTTCTATTTTTCAAAGCAAAGCAATCAACTCTAATATGCCCATTCTTCTTACAGTAATGACATGTCTTCTCAGCATGTCTAAACNATATTATCCTGACTAAAGAGAATAGTATCCCTAAAAGTCACATATGATGGTGGCAGTGAACACAACAACATCAAAGCTAAGTCCTCCTCGTCATACTTAACCTCCAATGTCTTCAGTTCAGCCAGAATTTCTTTGAACATAGTTAAGTGATCATCCCATGACGCACTTTCAGACATCCGGTGAGAAAACAAGCGATGTTTCAAGTGTAGTTTGCTGGTGAAGTTCTTAGTCTTGCAAAGTTGCTCCAACTTCAACCACAATGCAGCGGCACTCTTCTCCTTAAGAACATCTTGAAGAATTTGATTAGAAAGATGTAGATGAATTTGAGATTGGGATTTTCAATCCCTATCAAAGCCAAGCAAGACTTCCACCAAATCCATCTGCGCCAACACCGCTTGCATCTTCACTTGCCATAATGTAAATCTCATATTTCTATCCAACAATAGAATATCATACTTCATGTCACCATGCTGAACAATCAACATTGATCTCTAATACCACTTGTTATAAAATTCGGATCACAAGATAATGAAGACAATGAAATAAAATGAAAAGAACAAGAACACAAAAAATTTAGAGGATGAGAATCCACTATAAAGTCAATAGATTTGTGTTTACAATATCAAGATTTCAATAATCAATTTAAATCTAAGCTCTCAAGAATGTTTTCTCTCAATTCTCTTGATGCCAGAATGTCATATAATATTACAAGCTGTGACTTATATATAGGAAAACCCTAGGAACAAGTTGTAGTAGGAAAGAAGTCCAAAAACACGTCAAACAGACGAAACGGGATTGGTCCGGAAAAGACTATTGCTCGAGCGACAGACTCTCGAGTTCTTTCACTCAAGCGTCAAGCTAGCGCCAGACTAGCGAAAATGCGGCGACTTTTTCCTTCGGACCATAATTTTGATCTCTTCAAAATCACTCCAAATTGGACTCCAATACCCAATAGAATTTGGGTCAAATCACAACAATAACATTGCAAAGGGTTTATCACAGTAGTGCTATAGTTTTATAAGAGTTTGTGAATACATCGAAAAAATCAAAGGACTTAACTAGAAAGTTCCATCCTTATAATGTTGAAATAATTGCAGAAATTCTCTCATGTAGTCATTTACTACTTATTTTGTCGGGATATAGCGTTCTGACAATTTTTTGTCTGAGATACATGTTAGTGTCTTACATTTCATATTTTTCTTGTAAAACTAAGTTGTCATTTTCAATGTTTATATTTTTTTCAGGGTACTTGAACATTCAATAAAAACTTTCTTAGTAGATGTATAGCTCTATAATTGCATGAATTCACACTGTGTTTATTATAGCAATTAATCGGATGCTGCACTAAGTTGAACTCTTTTGCAACTGTGATGAAGGGAGACGCCATCTTTTTGGGTCAATACCTCTTTACTGGAAGCGAGACTACTTCTATTTGGTAGGAGGTATGAAGCAAGGTTCCTGGAGTACTAATTTGAATTCAACAAGATTGACTTATTTGTTGATTTCTTTCTGTATTATTCTTTTTAGTTCATTGAAGTTCTCGATGTGTTGATTTCTTTGTTCCAATGAGTTTGAGTTCACAAAACTTTTATCTTACATTTTCCCACTTTTCTATTACTTTCCATGTCAGATTGTTTACTTGATCATATAGAAGAAAAAACCTAAGCATGTATACATAACAATTTGTTGTATAACCTAGTTGAGAAATTTTATTTTAATTTGGCACATTAAACGAAGTTTGTGATTTGGCGTGGCAGGTAGATGGAGTAAAAAGGTGATGATGTGGTTTGTGTGGTAGGTAAAGAATTCGACAACCTTTTTCAGGTCATTATTTACCATGCATGCTTCTCAAATACGTATTGAACTGCCCACTCTATCTGATAAGGACAAGGAGATGAGCAAGTTGTAACAATATTTTATCCTTCCTAGATATCAATATGGTCTCTTAACTTGGTGTATTACTTTGTAATATTTCCCGAGGGATAATTGGTGGATCGGCTATGTATTTGTTTTAGTTTCTGTAAACTGGGCATTTAATTTCTTACTCTCTTTTATGTTTGCCTTTAATACATGTAATTTTTAACTTTACCGTATTTCAATTTTATTTCAGATTATTCTCGGTACGAAGGAACGAAAGAAAGTCTTAATTGGTTTTGGTGGGTATTAACATGCCTAGAAGTGTTGTCTTCCATATTTGTCTTTATAGTTATTGGGAAATCTATGTTTTCTTTTTCTCTGTACTTTCAGGTAAGTAAAGAGTTATTATGGGAAGTAAGTTGTATTAGTGATTGTAGTTTATGGTTTACGTTTCTCTTTCTAATGCAAATTGATCTTATGCAAGTAAGTTAAACATATGCTTGTTGTGAAGCTTTTGTGTTTATTGCAATCTAAATGAGGAAAAACTTGATTGGAGGTGTTTGTTAGTTCAAATATGTGTGAGCTGCAGTTACTGACTCGATTTCTTCCCGAGATCCAGTTCTTCAGTGGAGAATTGATTTTATACTTTTGTTCGTCCCATAATTTTTGTACTCGGTATTTAATTAAATAGGTCTAGGAGAAGAAAAAAATAAAAAAAATCGCGAAGCAAATGTTGATCCTCTTTTTGTCTTGTGTTGATCTGACTTTATATGTAAATTCACATGCAATTCTTTATAATTCTCATCGCTTTGAACATATTATATTGTTTGAGAGAAAATTGTGAATCCTAGCAAGATATATAGATGAGATAATGTTAACTTTTCAGCTTGATGTGATGTACGTGGCATTGTCAGGAATTTGATTAGTTGGAGAAATGAAAAGATTCGTATGTTTTGCCAACATATTTGTACTTACTATTTGCCTTATCAAATTTATTGGAAATATCTTTCAATTTTTACATGCTATCTTTAGAGTTTAAGCCCCTGTTTGAGTCACATTAAAATTTTAAATCTCATTCTTCTTCTCATTTTCAACTATACGTTTTTCAATAAAATAATATTTTCCATCACATCAATAATTTTTCTTTCTTTTTCAACCACACGTTCTTCATAAATCTACTATTTCAAAATACATTCTTCCAAAATAATGTTGCTCAAATACCCTAAAGCCTTCGTTTGATGTCGTTGAAGAAACACATAGTATAGACGAACTCCACCGTTTGTTTGGGTAGAGAAATGTTTAAAGATATTCCAATGAAATCCTATAAAACCAAAATCCAACATTATTACTTACGCTACATCACGTTCATTCACTAGTCTTATGAAAAAGAGTTGCATTAATTATTATGTTTGGCTAAACTTCAAAAGAAGTAAAAGTTTCTTGAAATAACATTTTAATTCAAAACATGCTTGAGTGACTTATTTTTCGGTTACTTTTTAAGGAGAAAAATGTTGAATATCTGAAGGTAACTCTTTTCGGTTATTCTTCGGTCACTTTACTGTTAAAACAAGTAACATTCCAACTTTGACCAATAAAAAAGTTTCCTCATTTTTCCAAATCTTTTACCCTTGACATTCCTTTCGCACAACTTGATTATGACCCCCCAAAAAAACAGAACCTGTTATTTTAGAAGATTCCAAGTACTTGTTAAAGTCTGTAATTGTGTGCTATCCTCCAGAAAACCAGAATGAAGGCAAAGTTTACCTTAAGGTCCGTTTGATTACAAGGGTAGAAAATGAGTGGAAAGAAAATGTTTTATAGGAAAAAGATTTTCTTAGAAAATATTTTATTGGGAATTATAATTTGATTGGTATAATTTTCCACCTGAAATTTTTTTAAAAGTTTGGGGCAACACAACAAATTTTAGACAGACAGATTTCAGGTGGAAACAATGCTGCTGTTCTGCCAGAGCTAGTGTTGTTGCAACAGTATTTATAGCGACATTCTCACAAAGAATATGTTCACAAAGCAACTGGAGCCTATATAAACCATATCAGAGCATTATAAGGAGCGTTTGGTGCACCGTATAGATTAGAAGATGCCCCTGTTTGAGAACAATTTTTGGGCCAAAATGCACTTTGTAATAATATTTTGTTGGATAATGTGTGGTTAAAAATAAGGAAAAGTTTTAATTTGACAGGTAAAATTATTTATTGTAGAATGTATGGTTAAAAAGGAGTTTGAAAAAAACGAGTTTTTGAAAAAATAGGGGTCAAACATTGGCATAATTATGAGGGATAGAATTAAGGTGCGTCAGGGTGCTTCCTAATCAATTCGGCCCTCGTGATCAAACTAAAATTAAGTGACATGTAATGCATGGAGATGACCACACAGTATACTCAGGAATTGAAGAAATGCTTATCTTTCAGCAACCAAAATAAGAAGCAAACAAAATATGGCTTTAGAAAGGCTTCATAGCATGAAGATGTATACCAAGGGGATTCCTCCAGAAACACAAATAATCAATTGTGCCTGTTATTGCTAACTATTTCATAGTCAATAATATTCCCTAAAAAATGTCCAAAACTCTACAAAACAATAACTAGGTAAAGGTGAAACAGAAATTCAATGTTCAGCATGGAGTTTAATGAGAAACTTCGTTAAGATCATTGGCTGCAAAAAAGAGAACTTTATCAGAACTTCAGGAAGAAACTTTTCTAATCTAACTAAATAAAATGTTATCCATATACAAAGTAAATGGATTTACAGATGAAACTGTAAGCAGGTGCATAATGCAAAAGATAACTAGGTCAGCAGTGCATTAAATGCGTCCGAAAAGACTGGACGATACAATAACAGCCTCACAATTCCTCAATGCCAATCTTCCCTTGGTAAAAATCATATAGTCTAGGTACTTGCTTCTCATATTTGGTCACAAACTTTTCTAAGAAAGATTTCTCTTTAGGAATCAACACAGTACTCAATTTCACATCTTTCTTAATAAATCCCCTGGAGATCAAAAACCGAACGGTGGAGCACCTCGGAATTGTCCTATTCTCCAAATTGAAGAAGAGAACTGCCGGACACGATGCAATCATTTTGGACTCCCACCCCATCTTGTTAACCAGAAAGTCCATTGTTTTAGAGATCTTCTTCTCCGACATGATCATGCAATTCGGGTGTTTTCTAAATGCCGTGTAGATATCATCCTTCGACCAACCCAATTTACTATAAGTCTTATAACACTGAGCCCATGTTTTCCCTTTTCCTGAAATTGCATGCAATGCCAATACAAACAATGATTTCAAAGGATTGAATCCCATTTCCACCACCTTAGAAACAGAGGCTCCAAACTCGTCACTTTTTTGCATTATGGCCTCCGGAAAATGCGTCAATAGCAGTATGATGCATGATTGTGGGACACTAAGTTCCTTCAAAACCGTGATATTTGGAACAAGATTCTTCGCAGGATTCTCTAGAAAAATCCATGATGTTCGCTTCATAGCAGCCAAAACTTTTTCATCAGTCAAAAGCACGCTCTTCAGAAAATTATAGTTGGGAATAATATGATTTTCTAAGCTTCTCACCAATAAAGTAGGGTCTCTGGAGATGGTGCTCCCAAGGCTATCGTTTGAAAATCCAATAGATTTGAAAAATTCAAGCTTGGGCAGAAGGGTTTTCTCAGGATTGGATAAAAGAAGCTCAGGCCTTTTCCTAACAAGATTAGCAATGTGGGTACTACTAAACCCATGTTTCTTTAAAAAGGTAAGCACAGAATTGGGTCTCTCTGGGGTTTCAAAATGCACTTTCTCAGAAACAGAGATAGCCTTCTCTGGAGACAGCCCACATGAATTTATCAAATAAGAAATCGTATACGAACTCTCTTTTGCTAATTTCTTCGCAAATTTAGGTTTTGTTTTAGCTGCAGAAGAAGCAGTTCTTGAGTCTAACTCGGGTGAACTCAAATCCGCAAGACTACAGAAATTGATAAAGAATTGATTTTTACAGCATTCTAATAAATTTGGATTAAAAATCAATCCATCTTTGTGAAGAAAATGAAATGGTACAGTTGAATCTGTCGTAAGTTTCTTCAACGGGATCCGCTTACCATAAAGATACACCGAAAGCATAGCTTACCCCTCCAAAATCAAAGTACGAATGAAAAAACTCACTTGTGCCTTAGATAAGTTAGATTACGGAGTTTATCTTGAGTGACAATTGTTCTAAACTTCAAAAATGACCACCGATTGAAATTGTTCTATGCGTGCAATGAGCTCCTGTCCCAATTAGGGCTTATTGGATTTGGAAAGTTCGTTATTCTAGCCCTGTTTGGGGAGTGAATTGTTTCAAACATCACTGAACTTATACCAAATTTATACCATCGTTACGGACGGCTTATCGAAACTCACTCAACTTTGTCATTTACCTCTTCACCCACCACTGTCAAAAAATCCGTTTGTTA